GCATCTGGATTAAAACACTTTAAAGTCACTATGTTTCATTTAAATACTCTTTAGGTCTGCACTTCACAGATGCTTTTTCATACATCCAAGACACAAATTGTTTCTTTTGGTAAAAAGAGTATCAAAATTCAAAACATTTACTCACTTCACTTGTTTCAAAGTAGTTGTTCAATTAGTTTGATTTTAAAAAAAGTCACTTGTTTCCGACTGGGTTTGAAGTGCGGCGAAGGTCGCCTACACAAAAAGGAGTTGTGCGCGTAAAAATATTGGACATGGCATACGCGAGTTTTGAGAACTTAGATCATAATTATTTTAATTACACTGGTCTACAAGGGTTTTGCGAATAAGACGGGACCTGGTGTTTCCCCTGCTTTAAGGGTGCACGCGATCAATTCGGCATAGGGCTCATTCGAAAGGGCACGGTTTAGCCTTTAATTTCTGACATATACAAAGTTTGTAGCACGTCAGGGTTCAGCTCTACAATTTTTCAAAAATGGCCAAAAACGCTGTTTTTAGGGGTTTCAACCCCTTTTTTCTCGAAAACGTGACGTGATGGGACATTTTTGACCCCGGATTCGTGTTCAGCACGAAAAATCCGTTCAGAAACACCAGGTCCCGTCTTATTCGCAGAAAAAAAGTTGAAATTTGTAGACCAGTGTTATTGGTACTCAAAGTAGTTTTCAAGAAAGGTTGTTAGTTTTTATGATTTAGAGGTGCCGCCAGGAGTTAACATCGTACATAAATTCGGAATGTATTTTCCTCAGATAACTTTTAGCATAAATGTTAAATAAAGTTAATTTCCGTTCGCGGATTCATAATACTGCGTCAATTTGATACCCATTTTGACGAAACATTTTGATGATTACCAATGATTTTGCCAAGTGTCCGTGAACTGGATAATTAAAATTACCGTAACAATGTCAACACACGGCGAGAGTTTCTTTGTTCACATTCCGAACATTCGAAATAAATTTTTCTGTTCACTTATTCATTAGAACGTTGTTCCCGGATAATATGGGGCCGGATAATCTGAACGCATTCATAGAATATTGCATGAAATTAATGGCGCTAAAAACGAAAGTAAGTTTTTGCAAATTGTTTTGCGAAAAAAATGTATAAAATAGATGCTTTTCATTTCCGGACAACTGGCGTAGCTACGAATTACGAATTACGAAAATTCGGCTTCTAGAATAAAGGGCTTTGTTTTTATCTATTTATTTTATGCTTCAATTTTGGTTGTGTAAAAATTTGATGTGAAAACAATATGTGTTGCTGGAAAAATTTCACGGCCCATGGGTCCCAAAGTAAATTCCATTTGCTGTTAAATGGACAAAGACAATATGTATTAAATAACATATCGAAATCTGTAGTTTCAGTGTCTGAATTATATCAGAATCATCGTATCCGATATAGAAAACTACATTGTGAAATAAGAAAATGACATGAGGACACTAAAAAAAAATGTTTAAATATGTTCACTAAAATTGTATTAATATTAAAATAATGATTTGGCAAGTTGTTATAGAATTAATTGTAAAATTTAAACGTTTTGAAGATAAGATATTAACTATTTTTAAAAGGTAAATATTAATACAAATACTTTATTTATAATCCCAAATTTAGGATATAAAATCTCCCTCACCAAAAAACTTACCATTGGGTAACGCCGCTTCGAATTTTTCACAATTGAGCAAGTGTCAAAAATTTGCTTTTTAATCAAAAAGTTGTTTATTGAAACTACCTTCTTTTTTGTATCATGGTTGGAATCTATTAAATTTTGACAAAGTTATGGGCATTTAAAAAAAAAATTCTCACTGTCAATTCGAATAATCGATTTTAGCCTGAAAAACAAAATCGCGTTTAATTCGGCCGAAACATTTTCCCGAGCCAAAAGAACAAATACGTGTCTCATTATTTGGACCAACAAACAATGTATTTGAGTGTGGTCGAAATTAAAAATCATGCTCGTACCTGATCGGTTGTCTGGAAATGGAAAGCATCAATATTTATAAGCTGATACCTAATAATTCCATTCTCATCAATTTCTTTATAACCATTGTTCCTGATAAACTACACGACTATTCTCTTCTAGATCCGGACTGAATAATAAGGAAACACGCCCACGGTCAATTAATAGGAAAAATGTGATCCACAAATAATGTTGAAGCGGTTGTAATTTTTATTACTTTGTTACTCATTTGTACAATTTTCAATACTTTATTTCACCTCTGGATTGGAAATATCCTCATATGGTTTTATTTCTAAATTAAAATGGAAATAAGACCATATGGGCTTATTGCGTATGGTATTATTGCACCCCACCGCTTGGATATGGATTTACCATAAACTCCCAGATTATCAATGAGCAATTACTAGCAGTAAATTACTATCCAATTGTCAAGTGCTATGCAGTTTATTTTATAACAATTAAACAATAGAGAAGCTGGTAGACTTTGGAGAAAGCCAAGATACCAAGCAAAGAAATTAAACATTAGGGGTATTCTTGAAGTCTTGCAAAAATTTCTATGTCTGTATTCTGCCGGAGGGGAAGAAGTTTTCAGTTTAAAATAGTTCATTAGTTTTACAGAAGGCATTCGGGGAGCGGCACTTTTTGTTTTGGTGATTCACGGACATTGAAAATTCAATTTTTCTCCCAAATAGGTAAATTAAGTTTATATCAAAATACGTTGAAACTCTAAATAATAGTGAACATGCAAAATGTTGAAAGATGCAATTTGAGCCCAATTACTTTTACCCTTTCGAAAGCTTCGAAAACCTTAAAATTCAAACCAAAGATACGCATATAGTATACATATATGTACAGTGAAACCCACTTAAGTACCCCCCGCTTAAGTACCTAACCAGCTTAAGTAACCAACATTTTTGGACACCGTGAATTTTTTAATGTATTCTGAAGAAAATCCCTCTCTTAAGTACCTCCCTGCTTATGTACCCAACCCGCCTAAGTACCTCAATTTTTCATGCCCCATTTACTATTTTACTTATAATTTTCCCCTTTTAAGTGCTCTTTTAAAATTCCTTAAAATATTTACGTATTTTGAAATTCAGTAGCAGCGCTACACATCTTCGGTAAAAAAATTCTAAAAAATCAACGGTAACTTTTAGCCACTTGAAACTTGCACATTATTACACTAAAATTGAATGGGCTATAAAACTGTACACTCAAAAAACACTTCTGAGAAAAAAGTTTGAAATTATGATGATTTTGTTTTTATTTTTTTTAAGTGTTCTACAAAATCTTAAGCTTAGGTTTATATGGTATATGTTAGGGAATGAACTGCGTTTTAATTGATTGAAAAATCTTAATAATTAATAAATAAACATAAGTGGCAAACAATATTATTGTGAATTTGGTACAAAATGATATGTCCAACTTTGACTTTTTAAACAATTTAATTCTTGTAAAAATGACATACCATTGCACTAATTTTTTTTTTTTAAGTTTTCCTTTACTTGTTTATGTGTTTACATAATTTTGGTTTTAAACTATGTATACTTCATTGAATGTTGTTATTCTAGTATTTATGTAAGTTAACAAGAAGATGTAACTACATCAGTAATTATGTTCGCTTAAGAACCCGCATCGAGGTACTTAAGCGGGATCTTTTAAGTACCCAACCCGCCTAAGTACCTCAAAAATCTGACATTTTTCGTGAGGTACTTAAGCGGGTTTTACTGTGGTACTTTTAAGGATTATGTTTGTTCCAAGGCCAATTCAAACAAGGTGGTGTTACCAGAGCATCTAGACGAAGAGCTCATGACCAAAAAACCCATCATACTTCAGATCGATTGAAATTTTTATGAGCTTAGCTTGTTAATATATAAATCAGGATCCGGAGGGCTGACTGCTGAATAGCGGTCTTGATTATGCGTTTTTATACCCGAGCGCACTTGTGCACAAGGGTATATTAATTTTGCTCACATAACGGTTGTTTGTAACAGCCAAAACGAATCGAGATAGATATAGACAAATGTATACATAAATGCTCAGAATGAATAGAGAAGTCGATTAAGCCATGCCTGTCTGTCCGTCCGTCTGTCCGCCTGTCCGTCCGCCCGTGTACACGATAACTCGAGCAAAAATTGAGATATCTCAACGAAAATGTTTGGAAAATGGTCGTAGCCACGCCCACTTATGGTTACATGTGTATATCTTGGTAACCGCTGCACCAATTTCTTCTAAACTTAGCACCGTTGTTGGCCTTGGTACAGCACACTAAATGGCCGAAAAGTTAAAAAATCGGAAAATAACCACGCCCACATCCCATATAACGGTAATTTAGAGAAATACAAAATCTTCGATAAATCAGTAAATATTAAAGCTAATTTATTCAAAATTGATGCTTGCAACAATTCTTTACCAATACGGTTATGGTAAAATTTTGGAAAATGGGCGTGGCATCGCCCACTTATGATCACATATATGTATCTCGGTAACCGTTCTACCAATTTGTACCAAACTCGGTATTTTTATTGTGCTTGCCACATAAAAGCAACACGTTGAAAATGGTTGGAATCGGACTAAAATTACGGCCGCTTTTCATATAACGGTAAATTGCAGAAATGCTTGAAACTTCAATATTTCGAAATTTAAGGACGCTAATTTACTCAAAATTGATACACCCCGGCTTACCATCTAGCGGTAGCTTTCGGAAAGGTGAAAAACATATATTAGGTGCGTTCGTTTAAAATCTCCAGTAAAAACCAACCAACTGCCTAATTCCGGCGAAATGTCATCTGTTCTCTCACAAGAGAAAAATATCCCAAATAGTACGCGAACAGAAAATTTGCAGAAACTTGCAAATTAGATGAACAGCTGATATAATTTTTGTTTACATTCAAAAGGGTAAAATTTAAAACGTACGAAAAGC